GTGTGGGGGGGGGGGGGGGTGTGTCGCGGTGGGAATCAACATCTGCAAGAGAAGCTTCCTGAAGGAGGGCCCAAAAATAACCAAACTGTAAAGTCAGAAACAGGAAAACACAGCAGCCTTGTGCAGATTCACCCACAGCCTCAGAGGACACTGTGTCTTTCTACCTGCTGAGAATAAGAAATATTTTCCATGAAAAATTTGTCTCTTGCCTTTGTACTTTAGCCACATAAATCCATACTGAAACCACACTGTACAACATCTCTGATGTCTAGCGGGACATTTAAAGAATTAAGGCTGCCCATTTGCTAGAAACATTACTACAGAGCAGACTTAATAGCCTATAAATTCATACATACAGAAACTAAAATCTACCAACTTCCTTTTCTTGCCCCCAGGAGAAATTACAGCAAAAGTCACTGTGCTGTAAGGAACACCCACTGGGGAAGAAGAGTCACTTATATTAATGAACAAAATCTCAGACAAATTTGCTGTTATTATTCCATAAAAAAAAAAAATCAGCTTCCCTTAACAAGTTAGTTATTACCACGGCTTAATGGGCAGGCATATATCTAGAGGCTCATAAATGACACACGCCAACCCCACTAACTGCTGCCGGGAGGAAGACATTTTCTCTCAGGGCATGTTTTGGCAGACAGGCATAATGTGGAAGGAAGGGAGATGGATTAATAAGTTCCTCTGCACCATGTGCTTATCATTAAAACTTGGGTACTATGAAATACAGTTCATTCAATGCGACATGGCATGCTGCATGCTGCTCTCTTTGCTAGAAGAAATGATGTGTATTCAAACACCTGCAGTGGTTTTCAAAATGTGCAGAATCACAGTGGACAAAATTTAACTGCAGGTCCCTATCCTTCTCATCACCATGTTTGTTTATTGCCTTAGCACCAAGCAGAGGGAACACTTACCTTGTTGCTGAGATTTACATTAGCATTTCTAGTAAGAAGCAGTGACACCATGTCCACATGGCCGTCCTGAGAGGCAAGATGTACAGGGGCGATACCCTGCCTGGTTACAGCATTGGCATCAGCACCATATTCCAGCAGTGTAGTTGCTATGTCCATCTGGTTTTTCTTGGCAGCTATGTGCAGTGGTGTATAACCATTCTGTCAACAGAAAGCACTTCATTGCAAGCTACTCATTAAACAATATGATAAATCACTTTCCTGAACCTACCCAACTCTATGAAAGTAAGTCATTAGTTCTAAAAATTCTTTCAAACATAGTCAAATACATTATTAACTAGTTGTACCACTAAGTGTATCAGAGCTTTAAATAATCTGGTTTTGAAAGTACTGCTACAAATAGGAGGATTCTGAAAGAAACTTTCAAAATTGGGAAAAAAAAAAATCTTTTCAGAAGAGCACAACCTATAGCAATAGGAATTTGAGTTTCATTTCACAGACATTTGCTACTTTTTGTTAAACATACATAAAATCTTTAACAAACAGAAGAGCAGGATGTGTGTTCATAACTCAGAACAGCTGTTATTGTTTGTTTTTCTTCCCAATTTCCCAGTGTGAATAAAAGCATTATGTACATGAAATATGGCCTTTCTTGCAGCATTTACCCTAACCTTACTGACAGGCTGGTTTTGTTCAGCTCAAGGGAAAATTAAAGCATGTAACTTTAGAGTCTTTCATTCTTTATTTTTTATTCCTTTTAGTATGTGTACCCAGTGAGCCCACTACTGAAAATAAAACTGCAGTATCTATTGCATGATAAAATTTTATAATTCTAAAAAAGGATAGATTTGGTAGAAAAATACATAAATGGATATAAAGAATAACTGATTAGCATGCAAACACCAACACACTGACTAAGGTATGACCAGCTTTTGGTACAGATTACAATGACCGTTTAATCAAGAACTTTCTGTCGTTCAGAAATGTAGTAGCCCTCATTTTAAAGCAAATGGCAAATATGCACTTGTATGCATGTGACTAAGGAAGAAGGTGGGGGGCGGGGATGAGACCCTAGCTGCATAAACCATTTCGTACAGTATCATAAGTACCGTGTACATCTCAGATTACACAGTCCAATAAAATCTATCTAAAGGCACAAAGCAATCACCTGGCGTGGCTCCTCCCTGCGCCCCACGGGGAAGCAGGGCTGGACTATATGGGAAGGCAGCACACAACAGATGCAGCGCGATGCAGGTAGCAGCAAAGAATAAACACAGAGGGGCACACAAACGATTACAAGGGAGCTTTAATAGTAATCTAGAAGCGAGAGACACACAGCACTAACTCCATGTGGAAAAGGTTCTGGAACCTTCAAAAATTCAATTCAGATTCAAGTCAGACCTTAGATACTAAGATACTTCAAAATGACACCTGGGAAACACAGTGCCACAATAAATAAGGGAAGCATACAGCCACTGAATTTTCACTTTGAAGATAAAGTGCTTCAGGAAAATAAACCACAATCCTCTCCCTTAGACTTCCTGCATGAGACTGACATGTAAAACAGCCATTGCCACAGGAGCACTGACTAAATCCTAAATATTACATGCTAAATCCTGAGTATATGCTAAACCCTGTGTATTTTAAATGGAGCTCATGTATATTTTGTAGGATAAGAAATGCAGTTTTGAAGCCTTTTCCTCAGAAATTGCTTTCAGTGGAATGGAAGGCAGCAAGTTCCCAAGAGAAGGCAGAAAGAGAGCTGAAAAATAAAAGCTGAAATTCAGCTCAGTCTCAGTCTGCAACTTCTCCTCATAAGGGCTGTGCTCTGCCACTACGCATAGATACAGAAGGGAACGGAGAATTCTGGAAGGAAAGGTATTGGGTTATTCTGGCTGCCCGGGAAAAGAGGTAAAAAGGGAAAATGGTTAAAGATGAAGGAACAGAGAAAAACGGAGGCTTTGGAGGCAGGGAGGAGAGGAAAAAAAGCATTGTAGTGGATGCCAAATTAAAATTAGGCACAAGCCTAATTTTTGCCTATAAAAAAGAAGAATTGTTCATCAGAATAACTGTATCACAGCGCTGTACGCTGACATGGCCACTTCCCATAGCCTTTCATCGATCACTCTTCAAGGCAAATGCTGCTGGACCAGGGTACAGAGCCCCTCTTAAGATCAGTGTTCAAGACAGGAGTGTCACAGGAAAAGCAAGCGCTGATGAAACTAACTGTGGAGCGAGTGACAAGATATGGCATAACACATTCATTTATTAGACCACATTTACAAAAGAAATGGGAAATCATCTGCTGTTACCAACATCATCTTTCAGATGACTGCACAGTGGGTGCCTAAAGCAACAAACATGCTACCGTTAATTTTATTTAGTATTGATGCTCTACTCAGTGTTGCTGTGGTTCACTTGCTGCAGAATACTAATAAATGCTTTTTTTTAGGAAAACTTACAGCTGGCATGAAGGCCTGAAGTGGCAGCTGCAAAACTGTTCTGTTACAGATGGGGAAGCTAAGGTGACCTGACACATGAGTTTGTGTAATATTATATCATAGTTTATCGTGCTTCCACCTTGGTTTGGACTTCCCAAGCCCTTGGCTGTGGCTGCTGCAATCCCTGCCCCTACAGGATGCACGGCTTCCACAGGCAGTTTCTTTCAGTGAAAACTGGGTCAGTGTCCTCTCATCCTCTTCAGAAGGCCCTTTCTTCCCCACAGTGGCATTTAAAAGTGCTGTGTTGCAGTAGTAAAAGATCAGAGATCACTGCAGTTCACCTCCTGGGGCACTGCTCTGGCAGATTGCCACTATCGACATTATAGATTTTAAACTGTGCTGTTGCTGCTGGCTATCCATGTTTATTTAACTTTTCCTCTCTTTTGCACTATAAACTCTGGGATCTCCTATGTATGACAAACTCCATCCTCTTCTTTAGCCATGCAGAAGGCCTCCAGTGTTATGGCTGTATTCAGTCATGTGTGAGAGGATGGCAATCAAGGAGAGCTGTCTGTCTATCTATGATACTGGCTTTTCCACTAGATCTCTCTTTTCCACAGTGTTTTTCTGCAGTGATTTTAGGAATGTATCTGGGTTGTTTCTTGTGAGGTATTTACACTGCACTTACCCCACTTGAACCTATATATGCTTCCACCCTGTTTTACTTATTGTTGCTGTCCAACTATCGATCATTGATCCATACTTAAAACTGGGATCCACAAAAGACATAGACACTTTAAGCTTCTCTAAATTTTTTCTTCTACTCAGAAATAGAGTACATTTAAACATCTATTCTTTCACATCCCCGGAAATCTTACACTATGTGTTGTCTTGCCTACAGTAAATTGCAATCAAAGCAGGGCTGTGACTAGCAGTTTTATTTTCTCACCAGTCCATTTATACTGTGGTGGAAGTACTGTGAAGCACATTAATAATTACATACATTGTGCTGAGAAACATATCACACCTCAAAAGTCACCCTGTGGCACAATACAGGAGAATCATCGCTGTGTAGCAAGGCACTAACTCCAAGCTTGCCCTGCACAGATGTTAAGATGCAATGATAGAAAGTTGGTTGGCTTGGAAAGGTGCTAAGGAGACCGAACAAGTGAAAGCAAGGCTCAGTATTCACTGAGGTGGAACTTTACTGAAACCAGAGATTTTAAATGTTTCTACACCTATATTTGCTTTTTTATTGCTATTTTATTCACCTGCAGAATTATTCTAACAGATTTATGTGGTTGTGAGACATTAATAAACAAGGTCACTGAGCCCCGCGTAATCGCAAGCATATACAGCACAGCCTAGAAAGAACTGAGGTAAACAAGGAATAAAGTGACACAAAAAGCCCAGGTATTGTTCCCCCAGAGTGGCCACTTGTACCTTGGCAGATGCGTGAGGTGAAGCTCCCTGGTCCAAGAGTAGGAGTGCCACTTTTTGATTATCGTAGTGTGCAGCTACATGCAGTGGTGTTAAACCGCTCTAAAAACACATGCAGAACAAACAAGTGCTGTTACAGACCCTCTCCAGGGAAAACTTCAGAGTTTGGAAAATTGGAGTAGATAAGGTGAAGAAACACATTTGTTATGCATTCATGTATCTAGAGTCTTTGATAACTTTAGAATAAAAAAATAAAACAGAGATTTGAAAATCCTTACTGAGCTGTGAAAGCCTTTTTCACTTTTCCCAGGGAAGATGAACAGAGAAGCACATATCTGTGCTGCCCCTAGGACAGAGCAGGTAAGGAATTTTGACCCTGAGGTCACACCCTCAGCAATGTTTTTCTTTTACTGCAGTGGATAAGTAAACTGTCCCTTGGATCTGTAAAAATCCAAGCTGGGCTGATTTAAAAAGCCTGAGGTCCTACTGGGCTTTGCCCCCTGTCATGAGACCTGGGGGAGCAGAGCCAGCCGCCTGAATGCTGTGATAAGGACTGTAAATAGTCTGGACAGGAAGGCCAGAATGCTTTGTCTCAATTCCCCTGGATAGGTACAGACAGGACATAATTTTGTTGTCAATTAATGACAATAAAAGTCACTTTTGTCAAGATTTGCTGGCTCTTGGCAGTCCTAACAGGGACTGGAATTTTACATGAAACCCATTCCAGTTAAACCCAGGCTATGGATATTAGTGTGATGGTAAGTAGGTAGAACGATATTATTAGAATATTATATGCATTTAAGATATTTGCTGTGCAAGCAGCAGTGGCTTCTTCTGTCCTACCTTTCCAGAAGCATCAGGAGATGCACTCTTCTGAAGCAGGAGGTTGGCTACCTCAATTTTCCCATATTTTGCAGCCACATGTAGAGGAGTAAATCCTTTCTGTAAGAGAGAGCAGTTATATAGCAGCCTTGTGCACTCTTTCTCAGGGTAAGGTTTGTCTTTGATCCACAAGGATACTGCTGTTTCCATCCATCCCCTTACACAGTCCTGAGTACAGGCAGCAAGTCTGCAGATTCCCAACTGCCGTGGCAGGTTTGGATGCCCGCCCTTGCAAGGCAAAGCCCTATCTACATTAAAACAACTGTAAAAAGGGAAGAGTCAGTTCCTTTTTTCACACCACCAAAGGCCCAAGGACGAGGCTGGGTAACAGCTTATCGACTCCCGTCAGGAATTTCTGCCCTGCATTCCTTTCATTCTGAGAAAACGAATGTTTGATCACTGTGATACGTTATACATCAGGCTCTGAGGTAAAAGCATGAAGCTTTGTACCCTTTTAACAAAATGTGGCTCATTCTTACATTATTTGTATGCGTATATGACTCTTGCAGCATTTAATTCACAAGTAGCACTTGCTACAGGTTTGAAGCTATCACTTTTGCAACTCCCTTACCTTGGTAATGATAGATAAAGATGCACCATGATCCAGAAGAACTGAAGCTACATCTTCATGTCCTTCTCGAGCAGAAAGATGCAGGGGTGTGTAGCCAGACGTCGTAGCCGCATTTGGAGATGCTCCTTGCTGTAGCAGCTGCTGTACTATATCTGCTTTTCCCAGTCGAGCAGAAATGTGCAGTGGCGTTTGGTCATCCTAAACATAAACGAAACAACACAGTCCTACACAAGAAAGCTAAGGCTTGTATTTTGACAGAAAATATTTGCTCAGATTCTATCGCTTTTCAAAACTGCAGACAAGCATTAACTCTACTGAGGTCTTACCTAGTGAATATTGCACGCTGGCTTTCTCTTTGTCATATAATAAAGATACCTTGTGCTTTGTTGATGCATGACATAATATTCCAAGCAGGTATGTAATCCATAACAGTAAATAAACTGATCAATTTTCTTCTTACTCTGGGTTTGCCTCACTTTTCTTTGCCACTAAGGTGCATTGTTGAATTTGAGACCTTTCTTAAAACGTAGTGAATGCATAGCTCTATTCTTCACATCTTGATCTCTTTTATGATTCCCAGCAACATTTAACAACTCAATCCGTTGTTTGGGATGACCTGAAGCGTCTAGCATAATATTGCCTAGTAGCTGGCATTAAGTATCATATTTTGTGCTTTTTTACTGGTGAACTATTTGTTTGATACTTTGCAGAGAACTTTACAGTGCATATAACTGAAGATAAAGCATGGTGCTGAAATCCACTGTCATTTTCCCACTGCATGTTCAGAACGCAATAATTCTAATAGTTTTCAAGTGCCCTGTCATGAGTTGTGTTGTTTATTTATTTTCCTGCAGTGAAAATACTGTGGTTGTTCGTGATCTTGTTCTCAGTGTCTAATAGATAATTTCTTCCTTATTCATTATTTGGTTTTGTATTTTTGTCCTCCCCATTCTCAGTTGTGCGATCTTTGGATTAAGCACACAATCACAACAGTATGGCCAAGAAAGCCCATGACTTCATTTTTTCCTGTTCCTTATAAATCTATTCAAATATCTTTCTGTCCCCATTTTTCCCTGCTGAATTTCCTACCTTTTGTGCACCGCTACTCCACATCCTGCAGCATAGTTCTGGGGTGTTCTCTGCTAGGGACACTTCTGTCCATGCCCATCCTACACCCGTGATTTTACACCTTTGGGTGGTAGAGGATGAGAGAGTGTCAGGATGTGAATGCTGCTTCTCTGCAGGGAAATTCGCCTCTGATTGGTGGAGAGCCTTTATGGTTCTTGAATGTTTTCAGTCTATGCCTGTGCTTCTGAGCACGAGCTGCTCACTTTCAAGGCTGTCTTTGGAGATTTAGAGACCACATGATTCACTTCTATTGTCAGACTGCTTGCAGATATGAAGTGTATCTGCTATAAATATTTAGCCGTAGTTCCTTCTAAGTAGATATTCTTACTAGTAACTTTATTTGTGAACCAATTCACAGATGATAATTTCTCAATGAAAAATAGATTTCTTTGAAATTGTATTCATTTAATCACTATTTGAAAAAAAGAAGTTTTCCTGGTTTTACCTATTAAGACTGCTATTTACTGCACCTATTTATCTCCTTCCCATGTCTGTCTCTTGGAATTCTTTTATTTCCATAATTTTGTATATTTCTTCAGTGGCTCTTGATCATTTCTTTTTCCTCCCCTCTTATCTTCCTCAATTGCAATTGTTTTTATAGGGTCTGTTCCTTCTTTCCAGCCTATGCTACATCCCTTTATTGTGCCTCCTTACTTTCAGAGGTGTTCTTTTGAAGTATAATTATTTTGGAATGTATACAGGTTGATGCTTTAGGGATATGACAAGAGACACTAGCAGCCTAGACTTTACAGCTTTGCAGAAATAAAAGCAGATTTGAGGCATTTCTCCCCCTCCTTGCTTCCCACTCCAAAACAAAACTCTTCAAACATGTAATAGTTTATACTAAAAGCTGACAAAAAACCAAGCATGGTATCAACTTGACATCTCCTGACTTCTCTCTTACACACAGATCACTCATGACTACAGTAAGAAAGTATATAACAAAATATCAGTGGTCATTACGCCAACGCCCTTGGCTTCATCTCCCTTTCTCTTCCTGAAAGACACATGCAAGACGAATGTGATTCCTTGCTTTGTTAAATATAGATAACCTAGGGTTATCATGCCTGGACCATCACCTTACCTTAGCCTTAGCCTCCACCTGGGCTCCATTTTGTACCAAGTATCGAACGACCTCTGTTTGGCCAGCTCTGGCAGCCATGTGCAGTGCCGTTTCTCCTCTCTAGTGTGCAGCCGCAAAAAAAAAAAAACACCAAAAAAAAAAAAATTAAAAACACACTGCAGGAAAACCAAACCCCAATGTGTTTCATAAATACAAAAATATTGGTGACCCAGTTCAGCATAATCTCCACTAGAATATTTTGTAGTAGTTGTCTGTGAGGAAGATGGGAGATTAAGTCAATATTTGACCTCTTAGCTGTATGCTACAAAGCAGTGTATTTCAGTGTCCGTTTCCCAACACAATAGTGCCTTTGTCACTAGTCTTTTGTTGAAAGGATACAGTGCAATTTTTGTATTTAATAGCATTTTACTGCCTGTGTTAAAAATGACTCCCATTTAAATAGAGTCTAATTTAGTCAAACAAAAAATTTATTTCAAATTTTGTATATTCAGATACACATATATTTGGCTTTCCTCCTGCTATGCCCCTACTATCATTTATTATCTGACAAGCACTGAAATGAGTGAATAAGAGGAACAGAAATCATTACTGAGTACATTAAGACCATGAAGCCTTAGATTAATGAAAGGCAAATACAGGGAAACCAGAATAAATTCAGGAGGGAAACTGCTTTCTACATTTTTGGACATCAATGTGTCTTTAGGTACAAACATCTGCTAATTTACAAATGGTGTTGCATTTTTATATAATCTAATAGAATTAGCAGATGAAGACTTTAATAAAAGATTGTCTTCTAATTGCACCTGTGTATGGAAGGTGAAAGGGAGGTTTTGAGGCCAAACTGGTGAAAAGAATGAACAAAAGTCTACTTTCCTCCCATTTCCCAACTTTCTAATATCCATCTAACAGTGACTTCAGTTTTTATACATGTCCTGGGAACCTTGGGGCACACAGTGCACATCCAGTAGAAAAGCGCACTTGTACGGCTGTATGGACACAGGCAATATGTCCCGACAATCTGCTGCAATCTGTTGATAACAGCAGAACTTTCCCTAAATGGCAGGCCCCCGGGGTCCTGGGAAAGCAGTGTTCAACAGTCAAGTACACATCTCAAAAATTACATATGAGAAGCTACAGTATGTTCTCAATCTTTACTTCAGAAAGAGAATAGAGTCTGGTTAAGGTCAGCCTCTTTTGAGGTTTCCTTGACCTGTCAAGCATCTCCCAAAGGCTGCACTTTCCCATACCTCCAGCAGGAGCCACAACTGCTATGGAGATGGATGGTGAACACCAGAATTAGGCGTTTCACTACAGTGATGCTCCCAGATATTATAATGTATTCACAGTCCTGCCATACTGAAAGGAAACCTGTTACTCACCACATTGGTAGTGTTGGGTGATGCTCCATGATGCATTAGCTGCGATACAATATTTACATGTCCCATGAAGGCAGCAACGTGGATTGGAGTTAGGCCCGACTGAAAACCAAACCAAAATCAAATTTAAATATCTGCTTCTACACTCCTTTACAAGAGTGCCATGGGGAAAAAATAAGTTATTCTAAAGTGAGTAAATCCATATGCTTGCTCTTCTGAGAGGATCTTATCTTCTCAAAAGCTTATACACATGCTTTAAACTAAAAGGCACACAGAATTGGAAACACCTATGAGTATGATTCCTGAGTAAATATAAAAACATTCTAGAAATTCAGTAATTCTTCATCAAATAAAATCAACTACAGCTAAGCAAGATTTCTTCCTTAAGTTTTTGCTAAATATCATTTTGGGCCAAGGGGAAAAGAAAAAAAGGTAAAAACATTCCCGGTACAAAGATAAGACTTTCTGGAACATTCAGCTAATGCAAAAGAGATGCAGTGTCCATTGTCCCCACCGAATCCAGTTGCTTTTGGATGAACAAAAAGGTCTATTGAACTTAGTGGTGAGCTCCATCCCCACTGTTTTTCCAGGAGACAGGGAATTCAGAACTGTGGCATCCAGCCAGAGAGGCACAGGCACAAATGACACAGGCTAAAGAGAATTCCCTCTTCTCCCAGGACCTTGGGACACCATCACAAATCTGCACCACTGCCCTTATACAAGATATAAAACCCCAACTGGAGAGAAAGAGAGAGAGGGAGAAGGGGCAGGGCATGACCTCAAGGACTTTGCTTTAGAAATCCAATCAATGGTTAATATTTCTCCACACAGAATTACCCTAAAGCCTCTTCACAGCAGTTTCTGCATAGCTGTACCGATGGTCAGACAGAGGCTCCAGAAGAGGGGTTTGCTACCAAGCTGAGAAAGCTCAGTGGATCTCTGGAAATCCCCTGATTTTGGTAGCTTCCCCAGAGATGTACACAAGTCCCAGGAGGGTAGGGGTGAGGAAAACACACTTTTGTTCCTTTCTCATGAGCAGGAAGGCAGAATAACTGGTTGAGTATGTTATTTCTTTTTGCTGTTTCACGTAATTTAGTAAATGCTTTTAAGATATGAGACTGCAGGAAATACAATGCATGTGTGTAATCTTTGACCATAAACAGTAACTCAAACTGCAGAGATTCAAGCCTGCAGCTGAAAAAAAAAGGTGCAGTATATACAAATGAAAGTATGGAATCTACCTGGAAAACAGAATTTAGCATAGAGAAAGGTAGCAAGCGTTACCTTTAATAAACAGTTTGTATGCAAAAATGACTATTTGTGACATTTGCTACTGTTTCCTCTTGTTGCATTTGCATTGTTTATTCACATCGCACAACCAACACTTGTTTGCTCTCTGATTTCTTTGGGGAGGAATACTCTGAAGCTTTCTGGTCAATTTGTTTTGATGGCCAGATATAAACCTTCTTTCTGACTAGAGAAATAGCAGCTTACAGGTGGCTGCTGAGTACCAACTCCTAATTCTGCCTTGAAAGGTTTTTACCATACAGACAGCCAGTGAAAGAGGCAGGCAGGAAGGTAGAGCCCTGCAGTAAAGTACCACAATGAATCTCAACAAATGCAGTCAAATGTGGTTTGAGATTATGTAAGATCATGGTGAGACAGTGACAGGAAATAAAGGAAGAGCTCTTGCTTTTGGAAAGTTTTTGCTTGAAAAAGCATTTCAGAGGGTACAGATCAGACTGTTAACCTGGTTCGCTCACATTAGACAGTGTAGTTAAGCGTTGCTGTTGCTTCTATTGTCTTAATTCTTTGCATTAAAAGGGACAAAATGGAAAAGATAGTTTTTCTACTTCCACATTGACTGATTAGTATAGAGGATAGGTATCACATCTTTTCTGTTAAGGTTCTCTTTGTGCTTCTCACTCATTTGCTAACGTGACTTCAAATTAGATTCTGAAAACTGCATCTACAACCCCTATGGGTTTTAAAAACTAGTCTGGAGATACACGAGCTATAGCAAGGGCAGGTTGCCTTCTATCTCAAGAAAGCCAGGAAGGGAACTGTATGGTTTGCTACTGAATAATTAGAACAAAACCCCATGCATCAAATGAAACTCCATTTTGGGCAGATGAACTCCTCCCAGTTGTACTTCATTTAATCAATGGCATTGTTTATCTTTTTCTATCTTGGTTTCTTCTGCAGTGGTCATTCATATATGTGACCTTCCCTCCTAACTTAGTAGGATATACAGAGACATAGACAACCCAATTTTTCCATAGGTCCTTTAATTAATCTCTAAATTGTGCCAATAACTGGGTGTAGACTATCTCATGCTGGTTGAAGTAATAGCATATTGATTTCTGTCTGGCTGATTTGTGATGACCTGTGATGGTGGGTGAATATAACTTCTGTGTGGAAAGCCAAAACAAGGTCTGAATTAAACCACCTTTCAAAATAGGACCTGAGTGAAGCACAGTCTTCACACCTTGATCTCTGTAACAGGATGAATTTCACCTTCAGTGCATTAAATTACAGGCAAAAATTGGCAGAAATGATAGATCTTTTTTTAAATTTTAAGCTGTTACATTTCACTTGTTATTCCCACCGTATTCTCAAAGTATATCAAATGTTTGGGTGTTGTGATCCATTAGGGCAACAGATTTTATCATTCAGTTTTATTATATGGTAATACTTAGTTGAAAATAATTGTTGACTTGATTGCTACATGGTCTTTCAGAAATATTCAAATATTAATGGATATAGTTCCAATGAATTTTGTAGGAAAAATAAAGACAAATGTGAAAAGACCACTTCTTACCTCAGTCACAGCTTGAATTGATGCACCGTGCTTCAGAAGAAGTTCCATTACTTTTATTCTGTTCTTCTTGCAGGCAATGTGAAGAGGTGTGAAACCATTCTGTAAATGAGAAAGAACATACTTTTTAATACTGCATATCTCATTAAAAAGTAGAATTGGTATGGAATTCACATAAAACATTCTTCTGTTTCAACAAAACACCTGTAGATTTGTTTTGGCTTCACTAAATTTTTCACGTAAAAGAGAGAAAAAACTTCTAAAATGAAAAAGAGATTTCATATAGCCAGTTTTAATTATGAAATATATTGCCCACTTCAATAAATATATTTTTAAAAAAATTCTCAGTTCACCTAGAACTATAAAAAAGTTCACTTTTGCTTAGCATATTCACTGGTAACTGGGTGGGGGGGGGTTTGTTGGAGTTTTTTGGGATTTGTGTTTTTTTTTCATTGATTTTCTTTTGACTTTTCAGAACTGCTGGCAAAAAACAAGCTTACCTTTACAAGTTCTGGCATTTGGATCTTCTTCTAAACTAATCTTACTACTTTTTTTTTTTTCATTCGTCACCTGCCAGTTTACTGTAATTACGATTATTTTGCCCCCTTGTTTAAAAAAAATCGTGTGTGCAGCAGAGTGAATATTTAAACCTACCATCTTATTTAGTGTGAGATGATACAACAGAAAACAAGTTAAACAGGAAAATCAGCTGTCCAGAGCATCCACAACTGGTACAATAACATCAGTGCACTGAATGCTGATGCCGCTCCGTATATTCATCAAAAGAGCCTTTGCAGAACAATTCTGAAAACAGCTGACAGAACTGGTCCCTCAGATCTGATCAAAATTAGCCTTTTTTTTACCTGCCATATAGTAAAGAAAATCATATGCTTTTGTAACGTGAGGTCACTACAATTGTCTGTTCCAGTTAAGTGTGAGCAGCTCTCAACTCTCTCCTTAGCAGTGGACAGTGTCCAGGGTAAGCTCCGGTGTGTTTCAGGGAAGAGTGAGCTTGAGCTCCAGATAACTGCACTCAGGCTCCTTCTACTTAATCATCCTGAGTGGGGATCAGGACAGAACAAAAGGAAACACTAAAAGATATAGGGGAAAAAGAAATCTGTGGCTAGGTACCAGACCAATGAGAAGCCACTGCCAGCAACTCTGACAAGCTAAACCTAATGATGATTTGATTATTTCAGAAGGTGAAAATAAATATTACAGGCCTACAAGCCTCCCCACTTGCTGGTTATAGTGAACAAATTTATCATAATACCTTGACCAAAGACACCTGAAGACAGGTTGATCTGACACAAAAACCAGAAGGGCTGAGAGAAGGAAATCTATGCAGCCTGTGCTGTTTTCAAGAAATTCAATCCCACCTGGCTTGTCAGGGTTTCAGGAACTCACATAATATTTCAGGAATTGAATGAATAAGTAGCATCAGGCTGTGAAAGCAACAGTCAGCCCAATTATATCAGAATGTAAATTTGTTTGAAATGGATATTGAAGAACAAATCAAAAAGACATTTTAAAAACAACGGATTGCTGGTATAATTTTGAACAAAATGCATTAATGCATTCAGTTTGTATGCAGTTTAATTATACTAACAGATTTTGTTACTGAAGTTGTTTTTAAAGTAGAAAGGCATATGACTCCATCGACATAATTATAAAATACCACAAATATTCATTATGTAACTCGTTCCTACTTTTTACTGTTTCACATCTTTGAGAGCTAATAAAAATTCTCTCAGTCTTAAAGGTTGCTGATTATTTTCTCTTTACAAACATTTAGAAAATGAGAATTCTCACCATACCAAAAACTACAGAAGTTACATCTGCTGCTGCTTCATCTATTCAGAATTATAACAAGCTACCAGGAGGCAAAAGTGCTCTAGTTACTCTAGAAATTAATAAATCACTGTTGACTCTCTGTAAGCAAAGGTCTACTCTGATTGCATGATACATTACTAACACTTTAAACCTCGAGCATCCTCTCTCGGACTGTAGCATTACAACATATCCTCACTGTCAACCATCAGCAGGCAGAAAATAACTCTCAAATAAGTCTCACCAGAACTTTGGAAGAATGTTTAGCTGTGAATAGTAACCCGCTGCGTACTCACCAGTGCTTTGGCATTAGGATTAGCTTTCTTGTCCAAGAGAACCTTGGCAACTTTGTAGTGGCCACAGTGGGCGGCAACATGCAGCGCTGTCAGATAGTCATTAGTGACGTCATCTACAGGCACGTTGTGCTGAATCAGAAGCTGAACACAGTTTAGATGATCTCCTTGTGTTGCCATGTGCAATGGAGACAAACCATTCTGTGAACAAAAAGACCCAACACCGATGGGTTATAGGATGCTCAGAGAAATGAAACTCCTCCACGTTATTCTTAGAGCATTTGTCGTATGAAGAATTTTACAAGCCCAGAGAGCACTCAAAATAAACTTAATGTGCTCAGTGTAACAACGAGGATTTTTACTCCAGCAAAAGCCACGTGGAATTTGGAGCTTGTTTGGTTAGAAATGTAGGCAGCTCTACGTTAAAAAAACTAGTCATCCCATACCAGCAATGCTCTACACATAGCTTATTTCAGCCAGCATAACTTGGATAAGTTTGTCAAGTTAGATGAGCTATGTGAAGAACAGCACTTTGTGACTTTTAATACCCTAGCCAGGAAATTTTCTGATTTTAAAAGCTGCATTAAACTCACCACTCTAATGTAGCCTGCATATACTAGGCATGAGTGAGCAGGTCAGAGCATCACTCAGTAATCACTACAACCTTCCCTCATCCCTCCACTAGTGTATTCCTGAATTTGGGTTGCACACACACCTTACACCACTTTACACACCTGTGGAGACCATTTTTCCCAGTCAACATTGGTACAACAGCAAAAGTTTCAAGTGCAACCAGGCTACAAAAATCTGAATGAGAGCACCATGATGTGACCTACTAGCAGTAGTGGTAAAGCTCTGTTTCATCAGGGAAACATCTCAGAGAGATTCTGGTTTAGGAACAAAACCTATACCAAGAATTGTTTCTTGCAGTGCTTGTAATAGTTAATCAACAAACTGCCACCAAATATTACGCTTTCAGAGTAAAAACGCAAGAAAAATAATTCTCAGAACTTTAAAGGACTGACTCTATTTCATCATGAAAGATTAAAAATATGCCAGAGTGAAAGAGGTCTTGTTAGCAGAGGTGCATAAGCTTCTTAGATAAACCTTAACACACCCTTTTTTTTTTTTTTTTTTTTTTTTTTTTTTTTTGT